ATCTGCAGAATGGCTAATTTAAGAAAGGTGTTGGCAGACTGACTCACTCTTTCAAGCTTTCATCTAATGCCCAAGTCATCAATCTCTGCACTGGGTATTTTTGGATAAAAGCTGTGGTGGTCTCTACAAGTGCAGGACTTGGAGCCAATGCACACAGAGAATTTCTTTCAAGTGCGTTTCAATCTAAAGAAGCAAGATTGCTTCTGTCATTTATACCTGATACAGAGTTTAACATCCTCCAGAGAAATTAAAGGCAAGAAGAACTACTGGGTACTCCAGTACAGCAAATCCCAGGAATGACACCTGAGAGAGGACAGTCTCCAGATAAACTTCAGCTGACTAATAAACCTCTGGACCTAGTAAAACTGAAAGAAAAGAAACAAAGAAAGAGAGAGAGAGGAAGGGAGAAAGTAAAGTCTTAACTCAAAACTTAACTCAAAACTAAATCCAAACCAGGCAGCTAAGGGGAATCGAGAAGGTAGTCCATGCCTAGGAATATGAAACCAGTTAAATACTTGTGCAGGTAAGTCCACAGGATGAGTACAAATACAGAAAATTATTAGAAGGAAAAGAAATACATATGCAACTAAGATACTGGGTGGAAACTCAAGGCATCTATATTCAGCTCCTAGACACGTCACAAGCTCTGTGTGACCTACAACATTTAAGATTCATTTCAGCTTCATAGGCATCAGGACTCTAGAGTCATCTGAGATGCTCGGTGGTATCCCACCTGGACTCCAGGTGCTAATCACGAAGGATCTGGCTGTCTCTGGTCCTCAGTAACATCTGTCAGCCCTGTCTGGATCTCCTGGATTCTCTATAGTATCTCAATTGGTACTGGATACCTATGTCTAAGCAACTGATTTAATCTGTTAAACATTATGTCAGCAACTTTTTTAAGAACCAGTGCCTTTTATCTCAAATGTATAAGCAGTTTTAAATTCCACCCTGCAGTTGCTTTATGCCTCAGTTTCCCAACAGCGAAAAAGAGAGAATGGAAAAAAATACTTAGGCAATACTTAGATCCTCAGGCAATGCAAGCCATTTAAGTACTTGAAGGGGGTAGAGGTGCACGTCTGTAAGTTCACAGCAGCAATGAAAGTCTAGTGGCTAATGCCAATTCAGATTATTAACTGCTACCAGTGAACAATATTTTGGAATGTCATAATAAAATGCTTCAGATTTTTCTGTTAACTCATTTTGGTTGCCTGGTCCCTCTCTCTCATAGAGTGTTTTCTAAATCTTTTAAAGAGATACTATCTTCATCAAATTGCAGTATTAAGCAAGTGATAAATTTCAGAACATCTTAAATGATTAGAACAACCTATAAATAGATAGTCGTATGCAGTCCTTAATCAGAACTAGTCCCTACTGGGCAGTGATTTGACTGAACTCCTTTTTATCTCTGTGAATCCAGAAAGCAGTCTTTGATGAGCTCCAGAGTTGTAGAAAGCTGCATGCAAGGATCTAGTGACCTCGCACATTTGTATTTTTTCATCTGTTTCTCTGCAATTTAACTTTTTTTTCTCAGCATACTAAATTATGTAGGCCTGCAAGTCTGCATAGAGACTATAGCTCGTTCCAGGCATATCCATGGGACCTATGCATCAAAAAGATGTTCCCTGATTCATTAGGTTTCCTTATTGTTTAGATATAGTTTATATATTGCAATTTATGGCTGATCTAATTGTTTTCTTGCGCTTTAGAATTAGTTTAACTGCAAAATAGCCTTCATATTTTGAAGCTGCAGTATCATCTGCGTCTTCAAATATAGAGTATCTCTGCACAAAGTCACTACAAATTTTTACATCTGAAGGACACTGCAGCCTATTACACAACAAATTATCAAAGTTAATAATGATTGCACATATATATACACACATACACACACATATTCAGGTATGATTCTACTCCCACAAGCACACATGAACCAAGTCTTGGGACTGAATCTACCTTTGGCCTACTAAAGAATATGCAAGTGTCATTCCCGCACGACAATAACAGTAGGTAGGAATTGCACTTGCTATGTGCGCAACTACGCTCTAAATAGAAATAAAGTAGTTTACGAAAACACAACTCATTTTTTAATACTATGTTTCAAGATATTTTTTAAACATAAATATTGATGAACTATGGAAAAATATTGATACTGTAAAGTTAATAGGAAACAGGCTGTTTCTTCCTATAAAGTCCACAGACTTCAGTAACATAAACAAATCTTCCTAATTCTAAGCACAGTCTAGTGGATAACTTTCCTAATTCCCAAGGGGACTAAACACAAGGAGTTAATTTCTGTGATCTAATGAATGATTAACCATGAAATCTTTTTATCTGAAAAACACCTTTTTATTAGAATGTTAATTTAATTAATAGAATTTTGCTGTTGAAAATAGTATAAATAGAATATATTTATTCTCAGATGTACGTTATTCCATGGACATTAGTTATATCATAGCGATATTCCCTCTCCTGTTCTGAACAGCTAGTAAGACCTGTACTACTAAATCATACTTAATAGGAGTGTGATGGTTGTTGCTTAGGCAACAGAATGAATAAATGCAGGTCAGAATGTGCTTCCAGAAAAACAAAAGCAGGAATATGGTACAGAATGAAGAACAAATATGTCTAACTGATTTTTACTGCATTGAAGTATTAGAGTTCTTCAATATAAAGTAGGTAACCTATCTGAAACACTTAATTTAATAAGGTTGTAAAATATAGCTTAATATGTAAACCAATTTAATAAAGGTAAAGCAGTCCTCTCATCTTAAGGAAGATTACAACATATGTAAGTTTGGAGTAATTTGAATTTTTCTCTTAGCATAGCAGCTCTTTCTTCTCTCATTTTCCTATATGCTTTCCAAGTTTAATTTTCTCTTTAACATTTTGGCTAGAATGGAAAATATTTTTAAAAAAACTCATTTAAATTTTCAGAAGAGGCTTTCCTTACATAATGCTGATATGTTCAAAAGAACGATATATAAAGAAATTGGTGTTTTCTGATTCCGGTACAATATGGGAGCTATTCAATTTCTGGTACAAACAAAAACTGAAATATGTAACAGCATGATGAACAGTGTGAAATCAATAAATTAGGAATTATTAAATTACTGAAATGATACATTTTTTATTACGAGGCAATTTTCCAGCTTTTTGCTTAATCATTGGATTTAAGAGTCTAATCTTCCATTCACATATGTATGCTACCTCAATTAATATTAAAAGTAGTTATGTATTTTACTTGTGATATATATTTAAAAACAAACCACTTCAGAAAATGCTTAAATTAAAATCCCCGGAAAACATTAGCTAACACACAAGTATGCAGGCAGAACTTAATCTGCCTGATACCTGAGAAGTTTGATTTGTGAATTTGAATTATAGAATCTTCTATCCAATTTGTATGTTTACATAAGTACACTAATAAGAGACATAGCAAATGAAAGTCTTATAAATTCCCCCAGAGCGGGGTTCGGGCACCTCCACAGCCAGGGGAAAAGGGGAAAGCCCTACAGGGCAGTTTCTTTGGCTCCTCTGGTGCTCATCATTTACCTGTGGTAGGTGTACCCCCCTGCATTTGTTATGCCACCTACAGCCTCTTGTGAATAATTTCCTTCTGTAATCTCTTTAAGACTAAATGATCATCTACTTATGTAACTAATGCTACCACATATAAAAGAATATGTAGTTACATTTTGGGAAACTGTAGCTTGAAACCCACTTTGGAATTTTATTTTTTTCACATTGTTAGGCTGACAGCACACCCCTGCACGCTTTGTTTTCAAGAATGTTTTAAGGTAAAGATTCTAATGATTTTTACTGATAGAAGCAAAAGATCACATGGCAGCCATGTAAAAACAGGAAGAAATCTCTACACTATTATAATGTGGAAATGACAGAGATCTGTGCCTTAATTTTCTGATCAGTAAACTAAAGGCATATAATGATGTTGGCAAAAGAAATTATATCGGAAAAACACAACTCGTGATGATTTTATACTCATAATATTCATTCTGTTTCACTTCTGTTTCTTATATGCCGGGTGCAAGTTATGAGAAGTTAGAACTGTTCCAAGATATACAGGGTTACTAAAAATATCTTAAAAAGGGGCTGATTAATAATATTTTAAGCTTTTATATTTTATAAGAAACGTAGTCAGGATTTTTGCAAAAGGTTCAAGTAATATGAATACTGAGGCAGGTAGAAAAGTGACTATATAACAACCTTACAAGTAAGCTTCTCTCTTTACTGTCAATATTCATTTCAATGGAAAGTTTGTGCACGACAGGTCTCTGTTACTTTACACCCTGTGCGAATACTATAAAACCTGAAGTACCTCAAATTTTATTCCATTCATACATTCCTGATAAATGCCTAGAGCTAAAACATGAAAATGGAACTATTAAAAAGAATGCGTTACTTTTTGACACAGGGCATAAGTTTCAACAAGTGAATCCCATAGCCTGGTTATCTAAGATGCAAAAACATTTAACTGAGACAGCCAGAATCACTTGCACAGAGAGCACACTTCATTAAATAATTTTCTGCTATTAAAATACCTCTCAATGAAGAATGGCATTGCATGTTATTTAAGTATTATTACAATGATGTTAATGTTTAAATAAAAGTAATAATGTGATGTATTGCAGATAGGGGTGTTTACAGCTTTTACATACTGTGAAAATCCTGCAACGGACTAAAAAGAACTGTGCCTTTTTTCTTTTTTAATCTGAAGACTGATGAGGGGGAGAAAGAACCTTAATATTCAGTTTTTCTTTTATCATATTTCTGGCTAGAATATTTTGTAATGTGTACAGTTTGGAAGTTACACAAGGACAGGTTATATATTAATTTAGCTAGACATAGAAAAGTGAAACACTAAACAGACCTTCTTAGTGCAATGCAGAACAGCTTTAAGGTTTTTATGAGCACATAAGAGACAGACAAAAAAGGCGGCTACAGTGTATATACACAGCTATGCACAGAAGATTTCTTACCATAAATTGCACATTGTCAAATCCATTAGCCAGCAAGTGGTTTTCATACTGAGGTAGCCCAATATTTTCCAACCATTGTCCCACTGTCTGGACAGGGCATCGGGGTCCTGTAGGAGGGTGAAGAGGGAGGCGTTTAAGCAACGAATAACCATCCACTGGATAATAGCGGTAGTCCTGGGCTGAGAGGTGGCATTGCCACATCGTGTTCCTGGGAAAGTTGGTATCAAAGGAGCCCGCCAGCTTGACAGATTAATGTTTTCAGCAAGCAGAAAAGTCAGAAGTAAAACATAGTTTACAGGGCAGTATATAGCGTAAGATCTGATCCTAGCTCTACATTTCTTAGTTATTAATCTTTACTACAGACCAGTACGTCATACAGTAGGAAAAAAAAAAAAAGCATATCAAGCTGTCAGCTAAGCTGTTCTCCGTTATATGTGATTGTTGGAATACTCCACAATGAGCAATGCACTGCCAGCAGCAAGAATTCTTTTTATCAAGTACTCCTACACTCATCAGTATGCAGCTCCATGCTTCTTGCTCCCCCTCGCTCGCTCCCCTTCATTACCCAGCCTAGGCTACACCTCGCATTTTCAATAATAGCCATCAGATAAGGCAGATTTTTTTTTGTCTGCAAGCTGTAAGCCTGCTGCTGCTGCTTCCTCCTACACACCCATCCAAGCGTCAATCTTGAATGATGAGAGCAGTCAAAACAAATGCAGAAAATAGCAAGATTCAAAAGCAACCTAGAGCACTTAAATCTGAATAGAATCTTCATACCAGTTACGCTTTACATATCTGTTTGTTGTAGATTTTTACGTTTCACAAGACATTAGGAAATGCAATACATAAACCACAGCCTATGGCATGGTTTACTATGCCTTCCCCTTTCCCCTTTTAATACAAGGTAGGTAGTGGTCTGCATCTCTGCTTATATAATTGCAAACCCCTTTAATGAATCGATAATGAATACATTTCATAGTTTCTCTCCTGTAGTACAGCAAAAGACATAAACGGCACAACAATTTTAGTCAAAGTAATTAGATTATCTGCATGATTCCTTCAACCGTAAAATATTATAAGACACAAGAAAACCTTCATGCCAACATATAATAATTCAACTTGAAAAGGTCACCATTTCAAATGAATAATTAAAAGAATATTTTTACTAAGTAAAATTTTAAGTTTATATCCTTTTCTTAGAAAAATGTGATTGATAGCTGGCAGACATATAAGATTTGCATTATTTCTGGAGAGGGTGTATATTTTGCCAACTATAACTGGAAAAATTTAATAAAAGATGATGAATTTAAAACAAAAGCAAAGTTCATTTTCTGCACAAGAAACCAAATACCTCATGATGTGTTTTCCATCAATGTTCCATTTTTGAGACTGTTTCTCTCAACGCGGAAATACCTTTGTTCTGAGAGAAATGTTTACTAAACTTCTGCTTTTCATAACAGGATCAAATAACTTAGCAAAAAAGGCAGAAAATGGGTATATTCAGGGTACATTCCTAAGAAGAATCCAGTCCAGCAGAACTTTATTTATTGGATACATTAATTACTTCCCGTTGTTTTTTTTGTTCATTGTGAATCTCAAGCAATGATCATCTCTAAGGAGGAATTTAATTCTAGGCATAAGGAAATTACAGATATCTGTCGATAGCATCATTTGAGATTGATGATACTATGGCAGAGAACTGTTTCATAGAAATCCAAACCTACAGTCCGACCGACATGTTGTAATACAAATTCTCTGCAAGTGACATGCAGAGGGTCCCCGAGCAGCCGCAGAACAGACTCCAAAATTAGCTGTATATTTAAAATTAACAATCCTTTAAGAGTTTCAGCTCCAACCTCATAGTCCTTGGACTAAAACTGGATGACCTGTCACTCTGATATTGCTGTTTGGATTTGTGGAACATCTCATGGAAACTGAAGTCCATAATGATTTTGTCAAATAATTTTAGTTGAGCCACAGAAGATCTTTCACGAGGTTGGAAAGTTGCCTAAGACAGGACTGTTATGAGATCTTACATTACTCCAGGTCTTCCTCCTGATTTGATATATTACTACATGAAGCATGAAAGGTTCATTAGGTCCCTCAACAAAGTACTGAAGGCTTATCAGGCACTGGTAAATCTGTAATTGCTGAAGAAACTTTTTGGAGTTTTCTCAAGTGTTTAATAACAATAGTGTGTGAATATATGCAATATAGAGAATATGTTTTTTGGTAAGAGTACAGTGTGCACAAATAGCTAAATGTACTTCAAAGAGATTAATGGATAATTCATTTTTTCTCAGAGAAAGTAGATATACCAAATTGATAGCAATCTAGGTCTCATGAGATACAAGTGCGTTTTTTCACGCTTGTCTGTAAATCTTCCCTATTTTCCAGAGTTTTTTTGACTGTGAATCAATATCTTTGCACATAGATGGAGCATAATCCCTTCAGGGTTGTGTCCAGTCAGTTGCAAGGCTGTAAGGAGGAGGGTAGGCTATGTTGAGTTGAAATATGGTGGACTTCCCTTGGGTGAGCAAATTTGAAAAGCTGGGCAAGCTCTTGAAAGAACAAATTGGCAACAAAATTATCTTAAACAAGATGAGAATGAAATCCTTGCTGAATTTTTCTTAGTTGACTGAGAACTCACGAATTCCTTTGAAAAGCATTCCTGACTTTGTCTTCTTTCCCCCATAAGCAGAAAAATTGATATCAGAAAGAGCCCTAGTGAAGCATAATCCCACTCTTTGACAGGATTATGCATGATTGACTCCTGTATTTCCCATACATGGATAGACACAAATGTCTCTGCATCTTGTGTCCCCCACCAACAAAAATGTTCTGCCCACAATTTGGCCCACAGCCAAATAATCAATATACCAGTTTCATGGTCAAACTGCTTCTTCCTTACCTTACTATAAACAGCATGGAAGTTAGGCTGCCAGTGATGAGAAGTGCTTGGCTCAATGCCTAGCAACAGTGTAGGCAAAATTCAGTTTTTGAGTGGCTCCCCAGACACATTTCCTCATGTAGCTGTTGGTACTGTGTCTAACTATCTCCATGGCCCCAGCACTGGATGATTATAGCACTGCTGGTCCCACTGCGCGCTATCCTCCAACTCTGTCCCCTGCCAGTATAACTACATGTCTGAGCCCATCAACACAACATACGGTTGCTCAGCAAGGGGAAAGAAAATAAGAAGAAACACAGTCAGCTTGCCACCTTATCCTCATCCTTGATTATCATCTCATTGCTAAAGTACCCTGTTATCTGCAAGACCTTTTTACCCTCCTTCTTCCTCCGAAGGTTGTTTTAAGGCAAAGGAAGGCACAGAGCAGAGCCAGGATTGTGGGGACTAGGGTGAAGTCTTTCATTATGGGAACTTGCAGCTCTTTAGATCTCCTTGTTCTTTGCAAGTCCAGGAGACTTATCTTAGGGGGGCTGCTTGGATTGTTCTCCCGAGCCAGTGCAAGTGGAAACTATAGCAGGTTTGAGACTGGAAGGTTCTCCCTTCATTTTGCTAGTCTGTGATTCAGTGCTCGCCCCACCACTGTGCCGCTGCAGGCAGCACCTACTTTGCCTATGCCTAAAGCTGGTCCTGATATTGAAAAATAGTATGCAGACTGTATGAGATGGTCTCACCTGCAACACATTTACATACTACCATGCTTTCCTATGGTTTTAAAGAACATAAATCCCATGATAATCCTTCTGTGATACCACAACAAAAAAAGATGTACCTACTCCTGAATGGGAAAACTGATGCATAAGTCTCTTACAGGGATAGGAATACTTGATTCTTTCTTCTCCAAGGCAATAGAAGCAGCACACTGAAGTGATGTCTGCAAGAAAGATGCCATCTGGTATGCTATACGATAATTTCTACAAGACGTCTCGTTCCCAATGAGACTCAGAATATCTTTATTGTGGGGTTTGGAATTGACTAAATCTGTGATATCAGACAACACATGATTTCAAACATGTTGTAAGGCAGATTTGCTCTAAATGCAAAGGAATTTAAGGTCTCCTCTATTTTATTGTCTGTACTGTTAACAATGTGGATTTTTCTTTTTTTTTTTTAATTTCTTTTTTTTTTCAAGTGAGGAAAAGAGAGAAATACAGTAATTCTTGCTAGAGGAGGTGCTCCCCCAGTCATCATGAATAGATTATTATAAATCATTTTCTTTGGTAGGTCAATACCTGTCGAACATTGCTAAAGACTTCTGGTGTTAAGGAATCAAAAACTGGAGAATTTTAGTAGCTACTGACCAAGAAATTTCTAGAGTGAAGACTATACCACAATAAGAAATGATGAAGTAAGCTGGCAGCCAGTTTAGCAGAGCTGGAGAAGAAATTGATGCTAGAGTAAGTATGTAAACTTTTTCCTAATTAAAGCTTTCAGCCTTGTCCAACACTAAATGGGATATCATTTTCCTCTTTGTATTTAGGATTTCAGCTGGATAAAAAAGTTCTCTCTCGACATTGTGACATAACTTGTGCTAGAGCAGAGTTACTGTAACTGGGTGTTCTAGTGAATAAAAGATTCTGACGAAATGTATTCTGGGAGAGGAGACAAGAATAGCTAGGAACAGGATGCTGTATGAGAAAAACTATGCCTAACATCCAGCAGACCAATATAATTAAAGAAAGTTTATTATGGAAGCAGTATAGTAGGTTCCAAAAAGTGTATACAAGGTATCTGCTTTATCAGGCTGAGAGTTGGAATTGGTGTTGTTCAGCCTTGAGAAGAGAAGACTCTGGGGAGACCTTATAGCAGCTTTACAGTATCTGAAGGGGGCCTACAATAAAACTGGAGAGGTACTTTTTACAAGGGCACGTAGTGATAGGATGAGGGGTAATGGCTTCAAACTGGAAGACGGGAGATTTAAAATAGATATTAGGAAGAAACTTTTCACTCTGAGGGTGGTGAGGCACTGGAACAGGTTGCCCAGAGAAGCTGAGGATGCCCCATCCCTGGCAGTGTTTAAGGCCAGGTTGGATGGGGCTTTGAGCAACCTGGTCTAGTGGGAGGTGTCTCTGCCCATGGCAGGGGGGTTGGAACTAGATTATCTTTAAGGTCCCTTCCAACCTAAACCATTCTATGATT